GCATGCCGGCGAAATGTTTCCCTGCCAATCGCAGACCGCCGAGACGCGGAGTCGGTTAATTGTGAAAGGGAGAGAATCGAGATTTGCAAGTCGGCAGGATGGTAAATGCGCCAAGTCTTGCCTCCCTTTGCATTAGTGTGACAGGCAAGAAGAATCTGGCGCACTCACATACCAACACGATGTGTGGCGAAGTACAGGGATTCCCTGTATATTTTCTCAACAAGTCGTAACGCCCTCAGCTTAACATTGGATATAATTTTTTTCACAATCACCCATCAGTTTAAAATTATAAAACGTGATTTGCCCCCCCCCCCCCTTATGGAAAAATAGGGATTTTGCGTGTGTTTTTGTGTGTGTGTTTATGTGTGTGTTTATGTGTGTGTTTGTGTGTGTGTGTTTGTGTGTGTGTTTGTGTGTTTGTGTGTGTGTGTGTGTGGTTTGGTGAAGGGGGAACGACGACGCAGTGATCGAAATGTTATAGACATATGCTGTCCCTAATCCTAATCTTATCCCAAGAAAATGTACACAGCACTCGGGGATTGGGGCAGTGCAGTTGACCAAGTGAATCCTATCTTCACCTGGTTACAGCTCGAATGTTCCTCAGACGGTCTCTAATTCAGAACTTTCACTGATTTACTGTTTATCCCCCCCCCCCACACACACACACACTCCCCCCCCTCCCCCGCACACAATGAACAAGTGAATCCTATCTTCACCTGGTTACAGCTCGAATGTTCCTCAGACGGTCTCTAATTCAGAACTTTCACTGATTTACTGTTTACCCCCCCCCCCCACACACACACACACACTCCCCCCCCTCCCCCGCACACAATGAATGACTAAATCAAGAGACGAATTCCAGCTTGCTCTAGGAAAAGTGTTTATAGAAACTGCATCCATATAGGTATGAATTCTGACATAGAAATATTGACATACTAAGGGTAATATAAGGTTTCACTATACTAAATGACACCACAACGCAAACCTTCTCTCTCTCTCTCTCTCTCTACCTCTCTCCCTTCCTCACACTCTCTCTCTTTCTCTGTTTAAAGACACACAAATTGCGTAAATAAATCAAAATATTTTAAAACGTTAATATCTCATGTTTCCGCTAATTCCTTTATCATTAGGAAAAAAAGAAAGGAAAATAGGAATCAAGAAAGAAGAAAGTAAAATCTATAGTTATAAATTTAATTTACATACATGCATATACTACCTACAACTAAAAGTGGTATAAAGTAAGAAAGATTAGCATAAGTCCCTAACGAAAACAAAGATCAGAAAAGCGGAAATAAGATGTAGGTGGAAGTACAAAATATTAAAACCCAACAGAAGAAAGACATTGCAACAAGGTAAATATTGTGACGTAATCTTCAACAGTCTCTCCTTCTCCGCGCCATCTTTTCCTCCAATATCTGCCAGTTTCTGGACCCACCACTGTGCAATAAAATAAAGTAATGCAAGACTCGTAGTTTTGGACTTATATGAGTTGTCTCTTGTTTGTGATGAAATGAGAATTACAAATGACGTCAGTTTTACAGTTTTACAGAAATTTTAAGATGTCTCATTTGGGGGTCACATTATCATTTGATACACGGAATTATAAAGTCTTTCTAAGTCACGCACTTTAATAAATTATTTGTGAAAACATGGCTTCTCTACACCGCTCAATGAAATCTTTGCACTGGCCGATGTTGGGATGCTGTAGAAAAATGATGTCCTCATCCTAACTGAATAAAGCGATATTTCAAGTTTAGCCGTAACCAGGAGCCGAATTACATGCAAAGATTATTTACATGGTGCAAGGTCCTTGAAAAGCTTTGCCTTGTCTCCAGCCTCTCCTTGAATCTACCAGCCTGTGATTATTTCAGAAATTTCAGGGGCCTTAAGATTTTTTTTTTGGGGGGGGGGGGGGGGG